TTAGGAGTTTCTGCCTGCTGTTCAACTCAATTAAAACCAAATTGAAGTAATCCTTTCTCTTGGAGAAGGCATTAAGAGGACGATGACAACACCTCCCATTTATACATTTTTAAATGTAAGATGGAGAGGGAGTCACTGTTCTAGCTCAGTCAACCACATTCTGGTTGGTTATACTGCTGTTCTTTTTGGCAAGCACCTGATGTCCACGTCCATACCATACATAACTGCTGTTACCAGTTACTTAACCAACATTTGTAATGCACAGGAGAGAAAAAGGAAAAAAAAATCAAAAACACCTCAAAATCCAAGCTTCAATTTACATAGCAATATTAAGAGAATAACTCCTATTAAGAGAATAATTATTTGGTAGAAAGAGTAAGGGTAATCTCATTCAACACCTTTTGTCAATAGTAGGATCAGGCCAGAGGGATGAGAAAGCTAATTATAAGAGCTAAAGCTTCTGTAATAATAAACTATAACTTAGAGACATTTGTAGTACATTATCATGAAATTGCAACTGAAAAGTAAATTTGAAAGCAGAGGCAGATTCTCTGTTCTACATTTCTGAACTAAAAATTTTTAAAAAGAAGAACAAAACTAACAGGAAAGTAGACAAGAAAAAAGAAAAATGCATTTGCTTCAGCAGAGGTGCTTCTGTTGATCAGCACTTCCACGGAGTTACTTCTTTGGTGACAAACTTCAAAACTGTTTACTGTTGATTGCATGGGAGAAACTTGATAAACTGAGTGCCAGAGTGATAAATATTTGAGTGAGTAATCCCTATTCATGTACTCCACAGGGAAGTTGTGGGGCAGCATCAATGGGAATCTGGATTTTTTAGTTACTTCATGTTCTAAACCAGAACCACTATAGAATAACTAACAATAAAAAGTCATGAAGAAATCAAGCAAAATAATTCATAAAATATGAACTAGCCGAGAACCAAGCAGCTAATAAGCCTACCAAGCCCTCATTAAATTGATGGAAATCCTATAAAGACAGACACCATCAAGTAAAGTGAAAAATTTTATGTTTCAAATTGTGTCTAAAAGAGACTGTACTAAAACTACTGTCTTTTATTATGCAATTGTGTATGCCCTCACAGTACCTACAGAATTAAAACTCCATGCATTTGACTGGCTGTACACTGTATTAGCATATGAACACTTAGCTGTCAAGACAACCCCTGTGCAGGCAGCCTTGGGTTGCCAAGGTTTTGCTAACAGAAATCCAAGTGGAAATTCAAAACAAGATCTAAATACACAAGATATTGAGTAATGTGAAACAACTTCATCTTAAATCAGCTTAGGCGATCTCGTAAGTAGTCATATCCATGTTTGTCCAGGTTTGTTTGCAGGTTTTTTTATTCTGCTTGTAACAGATCCGGGCTAATGAAAAGAGTCTCACCCACAAGCAATTACCTGTCTTGGCTGATTTGTTGCATCAGTGGCCACAGTTTCTGACAAATTAAAGAGTCCCTACATAACTCTCATTAGTAGACAGGTTGCACACATTTGAAGTGTCTGAAGCAACCGCACTGAGAAGATTTGTCCAGTGTTGGCAAAATCTTGGAAATGGATCGTTTGCTCCCACACATGGCACTACCCAGTGCCTTCTCTGAGCCGAGCACATTAAGGCATTAGATGCCATTTGCATTATCACACAGCAGGGGGCTACAGCAGCTACAATTCCAGGATAATCCTAACCTGTATCCGTATCCTATGAATCCAGTAGAACTATTTTTATTGTAACAGTTTCTCACGTGGCGACTCTTGACAATAACGACCTTACCCGTCAGGTTGCATAAAAAAAGCACAGATGAAGCACTTGAGTTATTCTAAAAACATGCCCCCCGTACAACTGTTAAATTTTGTCTAAGACTACATTCGTGAAGTAAAAAGACAATCAGAACAGAAAGAAGAAAAAAAAAAAAAAAAGCAAGGCTGTCTGTAAACATAAATAACAGGTTAACCCCTCGGGACATCATTTATGTACTCCAGGCTCATTACAGCGCTCAAGTTAAGAACAGCAGCGCCAGAGATCCCACTATTTTCACAGCAAATGCTGGAGAAGGCAGAGCAGAGGAATACCATCCCTGAACTCAGCTGACAAACCGCTTCCCAGCTCCACATGTTATTACTCCCTCTCCCACCTCCGTGGCTCCCCTTTCACAGCAAGCAGCTGACACTGGGCTCTTTTACTTCTTGTTTGCCTCCTCTCTGAAGGGACTGCTTGCTGCTAATGCTATTCCATGCACAAGCTGAGAAGCATTATTCTATGTCCTCTTCCCTCAGCTGATGCTTCATCAATAGCCTGGACAGATTCCTTAAGCAAATCTCCCCACAGATCTTGCCAGAAAGGCAAACTTCCATACAGGACACATGTCAGCTTGACTCTTTGTCATCTTGTCTTTAATTAGGTTCAGTTTCACCATCAGAAACCATCAGTAATTACAGTTCAGGAGTGCTTCAGATCCTCAGGACAAAGACATTATTCCCATCAGAGCTGACAGAAAAACCTGCATGTCCCATGGCCCACAAACAAAAAATTGAAGGAATCTAATAAATCCATTGAGCCACTTCACAATACAGTTTGGGGAAGTAAATCAAGCCAAAGGAAAAACTACTTTTAAATGCAGCTATTAAGCTATCAACAAGAAATGTGTCTAATGGTAACTGTGTCTGCTACTTCTGTCAAAATAAATGGCAGAAACTAACAAAACAACATTTATGAAGTTGCACTTTAAGGTGGATTGAAGGGATTTGATATTCTGTTGGATACAGCTGCCACTGAGGACAGTCTATTGGAATATATTTATTCATCTCCTCCATTCTCCTTTACCTCAGGAAATAAGGGTTGGAGAAATTACTTCCTCTCACTTCTGCCTGAGTGTTACAGGTTCGTTACATCCCCTTGAAAGAACGCTCTGCTGAAGTGTGGTACACAGAGAGCCTAAGTATTTCTGATTGAAGTTTTAATCAGGAGCTGAAAAAATAATTGTGTGAGAAACTGAAGAGAGGGGAGATGTTTTACACATGCAGAGGGCAAGATGGATAATGTGTTAGGCATCACTTTTCCCCATCTGCAAGGACAGGCCCAATCTGGTTATTTTCACACAGTCACAGTCAGATTTTGCACTACACCCCATTTGTTTGCAACACGTTTTTTACCTGATGCAGTTCACAGAGTTACATTCTGCCTGGCACGCTCTCTAAACTGCAGTGAAAGACATCACTGTTTTTAATCACTGGTTTACTCTTAAAGCTGCGCTGCGCTGAATGCAGCTGATTGCATCTTAGGAAAGATCAAATCCTCCTCCTCCAGCAGCAACCCCGATTTTATTGGTGACAGAAAGTCAGTCCAGAGGCTTCCCACCCCCAGCTCCGTTGCAGGGCAATGAATTGACAATTCACAGGGAAATGTAAAAGGCAGAGAGGAGCCAGCCCCCAGGTGCAGCGCGCTGCACATGCCCCCATAAATAATCCTGTATAGCACCAACACAGCAGCTCCTTGTGCTGTGACGTACCGGGCAACCCATAAACATCGGGAAAGAATACAAATAATCCGCCCGACGGACCCGTCCTTCGCGGCTGCCCAGCGCACTCCCTTCCCCTCCCATTCCTTCTCGCGTCCTCGGCCGGGAACTTCCCCGCGAGGTGGAGCGGGGGCACTCGGGGGTGTCTGGGCGATGGGGATGGCAGGCGGTGAGGCTCCCGTGTTTCGGGAACCCGGGCTGCTGCCGGTGCCCCTGCTCCAGGCTGCCAGCCGCGGCTCCCTCCGGAGAGATCGCCCGACACATGACGCAGCCATGTGAAACGCGAAATATATTAAACTTGACGTGAAATGGCATGACGGAGGCGAGCGGGGCGGGGGGGGGAATAGAAGGAAAAAAAAAAAACCAAAACCTACAAGGCCACTTAGTTTAATCGACTCTTCGCTTCTCCTTCCCACACCGAAACACCCCGCACGCCGAGCGAGGGAAGGGCTGGGAGATGCCCCGCATCCTCCCGGAGGTCCGCCAGCGAGTTGCAGCGGAGTGGCTCCCGGCCCCCTCCGCACCCGCCGGGCCGGGGCCGCCGCCCGCTCCCGCCCGCCGCCTCGCACCGTGGGGTCCCCGCCGAGCGGGGTGGCCGGAGGGCCGCTCTGGGAGCGAGGGGACAAACTCCCGGCGGCAGCGCTGCTTAGCGGGCTTGGCTGTCGGCTCGGCTCCCGCCGGAGCGGGAGAGGTGTGCGGGAGGCTCCCCGCAGGCGGCCGCGGCGGGCGGTCACCTCGCAGCGCGTCGCGGGGCTTCCCTGCGCGGCGGCCGCTCCATCCCACTTGGCCGGATAACGGGAACGGCGGGGAGCGGCGGCGGGGAGCAGGGAGAGGGGAATACATCCAGTCTGGAAACTAGCTGCAGGATGAGCCGCCTGGAGCAGGATGGCGAAGGGATCCGCCGCTCAACCCCCGGCTCATCCGATTACCCTACGTGCACATTTGATGCCTCACACACAGACACGCACTCCCGGCGGCGGCGGCGCAGCGAGGCGCGGGCACCCCCCCATCCCGCCGCCCCCCGCCGGGGGGGCACGGCTGGAGCCCGCACGTTTCCCCGGGATGTTGTTGCAGCGCACACGCCGCTGCTGCGGCTGCACTCGCACTTTCGGGGGCACGTTCGCGGCGGGCGGGCGGGCGAGGAGGTGACGGCCAGTCGCGGGGCGGCTGCGGGGGTCGGCGAGCGGCTGGCGGCGGCGGGGTGAGGGGTAGGTGGGGAAGAAGCGAGGAGGGCGAAGGAGGGCGGGAAGGGTTAACAGCCGTGCGGCGCTTCAGCGCTGGATAGCGCTACCCGAGCGGGAGGCTGGGGGCGCACGGCGAGGGGGGAAAGCCGGGAGAGGGGAGAGGGAGGGAGAGGGTCAGGAGTGGGGCGGGGGGGAAATCTGGGATGCCCCGGGCCGCAGCGGTGCCCCCCCGGCGTCGCTCCCTCCCCGCGCGTGGGGCAGGGGTGGGGAGGAGGCGGTACCTTGTACGAGGATCCCGCAGAGGCTGTAGAAGCGCAGGAGCGCGCCGGGCTTCAGCCGCATCCTGGGGGCTCCCCTCGGGCTGGGTGGGCGCCAGGCACGCAGATCCGCAGCCTCCCGCCGCTCCGCTCTCCGGGCGCTTCCTTCCCCCCGCAGGAGCCGCCGCCGCCGCCGCCTCCGCCGCAGTGTCTCCCTCGCTGTATCCAGTGGGGTGAGGAGGAGGAGGAGGAGGAGGAGGACCAGGGTCGCGGGGGTGGATTGGGGAGGGAGCAGGAGGAGGAGGAGGAGGAGGAAAGAGCGGCTCTCTCCGCTGGCTCCGGCGCTGCTGGGCAGGTTCAGGTTCCCACCGCGGAGCGGTGCCAGGTGCCCCCGCTGGCTCCCCTTGCCCCTGCCGGCGTGTCCGTCCGCCCGTCCGCCTCTCCGCTCGCCTATGCCAGGCTGTCCCGTGCCGTGCCGCCGCGGGGCGGCGGAGGCGGGGGGGATGCGCAGGGGCTCCGATCCCGCTCTGCTCCCGCTCCGCTCCAGCCGCTTCCCGGCGCGAGACACAAGGGCAACCTCCGCTCGCCCCGCCCCTTCTGTGCCTGGCCCCGCCCCCTATCCCGCCCTCCAGCCACACCCCGACCCTCCCTGCGCCGCAGCCACGCCCCCACGGTCCATTTCGACACGCCCCCTCCGGTCAGGCCCCGCCCCTCACCCCGGGCCCGGCCCCTCGGGTGGGCGCGTGACTGGCGCGTGGCGCTGCCCAATGGCCGCAGCCCGGAGTGGCCCGGGCAGCCAATGAGGAGCCGCGTTACGAACCAAAGGGGCGAGCTCGGGGGCCGGGCCCGCCTCGCGCGCCTCAGAGTGACAGCCGCCCCGGGCCAATCGCGGGGAGCGACGGCCGCGCGGCGGCGCCGCAGCCAATGGGCGGCGAGAGCGGCGGGGGCGGGGCGGGAGCGGGCGCTGTCCAGGGCCGGTGCTGAAGCGGCGGCGGCGCCGGGCGGGAGCGCCGCGGGACGCGGGCCCGGCCCGGGGCTTGCCGGGGGCACGGCCCCTTCGGCCGGCCCTTCTCCTGAAACCCCTTCTCCTCCGTCTGCTCCTCCTCAGGAAAACAGCGGATGAAAGGAGGGCTGGCTGCGTCTCCGTGCTCGTGGGGACGAATCCCGCGCAGGTGCCTTGAGGCGGTGGCGATGAGGTCGGCCCCCGAGCAATGGCGATAAAAAACTTCCTGGACTCCGGGCGGTGTTGGCCGGACTCTGCATGGCGTGGAGAAAGCTTTTTCTTTGGAGGGTTTCTTGGGAGGGTTGGTGGCATTCGGCTCGTGGTCCGGAATTGCTTATGTTCCAAAAGATAAAGCGCTGAGTGCCACGAGAAATGCAAGAAGGCAGGCAGCCACCTCTCGTTTGTGTATTTGGGGTTTAGCACAGTATGAGCCACCTTTTGCACAAGTGAAATCAGAATGCCAGGGTTTGAAATTGCTGGATGTGTCTGTAAACATCCTGTGGAGGAATTGTGTTGCCTTATCCCATAGAAAGCAGGATTCACCTGCACCCAAATAATGATCAGGCATTTCTCCAGTTCCGGTTCCATCCTTTTCCTGTTGAGGTTTTTTCTCCAACACCATGCAGCATGTTTCCCACAGTAACTCTCTGAGTTTCCACCTTGATGTCCCTGGCTTTGACAGCAAAGAGCTTTGCTGAGATAAGTGGTGAAATAGTCTTCCCTACAGGAGAGGGAAGCTCTTTAAAAGCTCATTTCTCTGAAGGGGGCATGGTCTCAGATCGTCAAGGAAATGCAATCAGCTGTCAACTTCACCTTGAAGAGCTTGCACAGGAGTGGGATCGGAGAGGTTTTGCATTCTGCAGTCGTATCCTCCACTTTGTTCATTAGCAAGTGATGATTATGCCTGGCAGCAGTTGAGACTGCATCAGGATTTATACCAAGTTCCCCCGGTCTCCCAAAGATGCTCACATAAAATACACAATCAAATCAAAGAATCACCTTTTAAAGTTCTAGCATTTGTATGGTTTGGTAGCAAAGGACCATCACATCCATCTCCATGCCTTTGGAGGGTTATGTTAACACTATAGAGGATGTAGCACTGGAATGTCCCCTAGAACAGGGAACCATTTGGAGTCTGCCTTTAATGCATGAGTAGATATTTGCTTTACTTGGTTTTGTTTTGTTTGTTTGGGATTTTTTCTTAGTGAAAAAAAGACGCAACATGCAAAGTTTTTACAACTGTTCTCTTAGGGTCCAGTGCAGGTGCAGCAGTAATGAATGGGGAATGATTATCAAAATATTTTAGAAGACTTACAGAAAGGATCAAGTAATCATTTTTAAGGCACCCCTCTAAATGTCAGCAAATGTTGGTGTGGATTCTTTTTTTGGTTGGTGGTGGAGGAAATTAAAAAACAATTCCCACAAATCCTTCACTAAGGCAGGACTGTAATCCATCCTGAAGTGCTTTTGCATTAATTATGACAGCTGATAGCTCTGTACTTTTGACAAGACATACTTTTGGTTGTAGTCTTGTTCCAGGAAACATTATAGGAAAGATACAAGAGTCTTCCTAGCTTAGTGATTAAAAGCTGTAGAAAGGAGTCCTCTGGCAGGTTAGGAACGAAGTGCCTGTCTGTACATCGTAGCTGTTTCAAGTCTTTGCCATATCAGTACACTTGGGGAAGCTGATCTGAGTGTTTAGAAACACCAGCTGACCTTTTCTTCCCAGGATTCAGTGACATGGACATCATGTCACACCTCATAGGAGCGTAACCAGAAATACTGGTTCTTGCCATTCTTTTCTGGATCAAGGGGGTCTGAAATGAGCTAGCAATGCGTTGATAGAGGAAAAAAGAATCCCAATAAAAGTCCCCAGGATTTTTTTACTAACTACATTTCTGAAAAATGTGTGATTAAAATTATTACAACTGCCAGATATGATGCCATACTTCTGATTAACTCAGCTTTGTTAATTTGATGGTTTCTGTCAGCATAGTAGCACATCTTGTGACATCTAAACTAACTTTGCAATTGGTCTGCAGAGCAGCATGGCCAGAAGCTCCATTGCTTCCAGACCAAAAGAGCAAGAGGGATTCTTCAGAAAACACACTTCAGAACAGAGGAAAGAGTAATACCCTAAAATACCAAGAGATAACATCAGATGTAGAAGAGAAGATCAGATGTAGAGGGCAAACATTTTATCAGGAGCAGAAAAATGTTCTTCTGCATTATCCTGTTATTCACCAAGATGACGTGTACAAATGTTGATATGTAAAAATATTCCTGATGCTAAACAAAGCAACATAGTTTAATCCCCAAACACGATTCAGAAAGAGTCCTCAGGTATTTCCTTTCACTGAATTGGTAAAACAAGTTCCCCAACTTATCATAAAATCACCCCAAGAGAACAGCTAAACTCCACTTCTTCTAAATGGACCCATCTGTGTTGGGTTAGAATACCTCTAGATTTTGCCCTGAAGGACAAACAAAATCTGAAGGGATAGTCTTGTTTTTTAATGATGCTCCTTGATAGCATCAGTGGTCAGTGATTAGGGAGGGGAAACCCAAGGAAAACATATATGTGGCAAAATATTATGGTTTTGTTGAATTCATCAAAAAATGGAAGATGTATAGAAAATTTATGGAGAGAGAAACTTCCGGTGTTACAAGCTGGGAAACATAGCTCTAGAAGCAATTGTTCTGTGCTATGTCCTATAATATATATTTTAAAGTGAATGTTGTATAATCAAGAGGGTAGCAAAGAAGTAGTCACCATATGGTTCAGAGTACCAAAACCAACTAAAAAACCCCACAGGAAATAAGGAGAAGGTAAGCTGCTAGTGATCCAAGTTAGAGACAGATTCTATCATGAGTTGCAAAAGTGCTAATCACTCATGATCACATTGAAAACAGCAGTTTGGAAAGTAAGATTTATTTACATGGCTCGGTAGGAAAAAAAACTTGTGAGAAAACCCCACTGCAGCTGCCCCCTCGCCTTGAAGAAATTTCTGGCTGTATAGCAGCCTCTTGCATTTGTCCTTAATAAATGCTTCCATTTGCCCCACCATGAGCTTCCCTCTTGTGGAAGGTCCGTAGATCCAGGAGGGATCACAGGAAGTGCATTTCCCTGCCCAGTGCACCATTCCTGGCCTATGTGGAAATCTGAGCACCAGAGCTCATCCCTGGAGTCTGTGCATTTCCCTTCTACACTGCCTTTACCGTGTTTCAGCAGCTGCAGCAGAAGGACTGGGGTTTTGTTTGTTTTTGTTGCTCTTTGGGGTGAGAAATTTTGAGTGGTTGAGGTAAGTCGCTGTTGTTTTTAATGGTTTGGGTTTGGTGGAAGCTGATTACTAAAATAAAAAAAAAACCCAGATAACATTTACTTACCAGATGCCAGCAAAAATGCAATGGTTTGAACAAATACTGTAACTACTAATTTAGTTAAATCTATCCAACTGTGAAAATATATTGGCGTGAATAAAAATATATAGACATGAAACGCATTGCACTTTTTTTTTTGTTTGAAAAAAAAAAAAAATTGGCTTCAGTAAAGAGCAATTGAAGTTTGAAAATATGCTCCAGAGAAGAAATGTGTTCATTTCCATAAAACATATTGGTGGGTAAATATACAGAATGTATCAGTTCCAGAGCAATATTATGAATTCAGTGAAATTTTTGTTCTGTGTTAGTTAGTAAGATGAAGCAAGTAAAAGGAATTGCATGCTGTGAATACTACATATAAAATATGTGTGGGATGAAGTCCCATTTATAAAGCAATTATAAATGTGAGATATTTCACAGACTTTTGGAGTAGAAAAAAGTCTATAAAACAACCCTGTCAATGCAATGCCAATGCAAAGTAAACCAAGGTCAAACCTCACTGGTATAATTCTCATTGAAAAATACCTAATCTACATTTTGAGTTGGTGAATATAATTGCAGAAGAGAATTACCAATGATGAGTGGAAGCAGAATTATCTTATTCATTACCTGACCTCTCATCCATATAATTTGTGGAATGAAGACACAGAAAAAATGGTGCTGTTAACATGATTCTCCATATATTCTAGTTAGGTCTCCCACTTCCTAGAGTGTTTGATAATTAGCAGAAGTGTGTGCTTTCCTATGCCTTCTCACCCTCAGCCAAGAAGCAGCTACTTGAAGAAATGTTACTTCCCTACCCAAAATGACAGAACTGGGGAGTTATACAACCTTAACA